CTAGTCCTAAGTGAGTCTGATCTGACAAGAATAACATACCCCCTTTCCAGGGTGCCCAGTCCCATGTTGAGCTCTCATTGACTTCTAGACACACTGTTCTCTGTAAAGTGAAAGAGGCTGAGCCCTGGAGACAGCAGGACTAGTGAGTTATCAGTTGTGCAAGGACATTGGGGCAGTGCTCCATTTAACTTCCTTCACTGACTGCTCACAGCAGTCAGTCAGAGGCAACAGTCTACTGGCCCTTTGGGTTATTGGCTGCTGAATTTTTAGCTTGGAGTGTGAAAGTGAGAAAGCCCTGCCTATGATCAGAGAGTGGAGCTGTCTTCCCAGATGGGGTACCATCTGATCTGTCACTTCACAATGAACTATAATGGCATCCTAAGCAGTTTGTTTTTGCTGTAAAAGCATTCCAAAAGCAACTTAATTAGAATGAACTGGGATTTATGACTTTAACACACAGGTAGGCAAAAATCCCTCAGGTCTTTGAGGCATTCCTAATTTGCTTCAGAAGCATTTTTCTGCGAACCTCAGCCCCTATGCTCACCCGACCCTTGCCCCTAACTCCTTCTCAAGCTCTGCTATCAGCTATCTGGTGTACTCATACCCTCCTTCTGTCTGTCCTTATTGGATAATTTTCTAGAATAGATTTCTTCTTATGCCATTAACTGTAAACCATGATGGATGCTGAGTGTGGCTTCCCCCTTTCTAGGATTCCCTGTCTCTGCAGGAAAAAGGAGGGAGCTATGTTCATGCAAATGTTGCAGGAGGTGGATGTTCAGATTTCAGTTCAATCTTTACTCCAGTGAGGGATGTAGCCAATCCTCCCTCCCTGCCTCAAGTTACCTAGGGGCACCTACAACTGCCCCTGCTTCTCCCATTGTCCAGAACTGTCATATTCCTCTGATTAACATGACTTCTATTCTGTGAAGTAATAGTGCTAGCCTATTGTGTTAAGGAGCATTTGATTCTTTCCTGAGCTTATTTACAATAGAAGGACCTATGCATCAGCACTCCTATATCCCTTGGGTAAATTCCTAGCAGTGCTATTGCTGGGCCATAGGGGAGTTCTAGTGTTAATTTTTTGAGGAACCTCCACACTGTTTTCCAGAGGGGCTGTACGAATTTACATTCCCACCAACAGTGTAGGAGGGTGCCCGTTTATCCACATCCTCGCCAGCATCTAGAGTCCTCTGATTTGCTCATTTTAGCCACTCTGACTGGCATGAGGTGGTATCTCAGTGTGGTTTTGATTTGTATTTCCCTGATGAGGAAGGATGCTGAGCATCGTTTCATGTGTCTGTTGGCCATATGGATGTCCTCTTTGGAGAAGTGTATGTTCATATCTTCTGCCCATTTCTTCACTGGGTTGTTTGTTTTTCAGGTGTGGAGTTTGGTGAGTTCCTTATGTATTTTGGATATTAACCCTTTATCTGATATGTCATTTGCAACTATCTTTTCCCATTCCATCGGCTGTCTATTAGTTTTATGGATTGTCTCCTTTGCCTTCCAGAAGCTTTTAATCTTGATGAGGTCCCAATAGTTTATTTTTGCTCTTGATTCCCTTGCTTTTGGGGATGTGTCAAGTAATAAATTGCTGCAGTGGAGGTCAAAGAGGTTGCTTCCTGCTTTCTCCTCTAGGGTTTTGATGGTTTCCTGTCTCACATTCAGGTCCTTTATCCATTTTGAGTTCATTTTTGTATATGGTGTGAGAAAATGATCTAGTTTCATTCTTCTGCATGTTGCTGTCCAGTTCTCCCAACACCATGTTAAAGAGGCTGTCTTTTTTCCATTGGAGCACATGTACCCCAATGTTCATAGCATTACTCTCTACAATAGCTAAAACATGGAAAGAGCCTAAGTGTCCATCAACGAACGAATGGATCAAGAAGATGTGGTTTATCTATACCATGGAATACTACATGGCAATGAGAAAGAGTGAACTCTGGCCATGTGTAGAAACATGGATGGACCTTGAGGATGTTATGCTGAGCGAAATAAGTCAGGCAGAGAAGGACAGATATCATATGTTTGCACGTATAGGAGGATTAGGAGGAACTTAACGGAAGACCATGGGGGAGAAGAAGGGGGGAAATAGTGGGGGAGAGGGAGAGAGGCAAACCATGAGAGACTCTTGAATGCTGAGAACAAACTGAGGACTGATGGGTGTGGGGGGGGAGGGGGAGATGGGCATGGAGGAGGCACTTGTGGGGATGAGCACTGGGTGTTATATGGAAACCAACTTGACAATAAACTATTTGTAAAAAAATAAATAAAAATAAAGAAAAAAATACAATAGAAGGACTATATGATCAACTGAGAATGGGCCTGTTACAATGGTTCTCAAACTTGGGCATACATTACAATCACCTGAAGGATTTGTTAAAAATGGCTTGCTAAGCCTCATCTCCAGAGTTTCTGATTCACCAGTTTTGTGGTGGGACTTGAGAATTTCTTGTAAGTCCCCAGGTGAGGCTGCTGCTAGTCCCAGGACTATTTGCTTGATGACCTGGGATGAATGGTGACTCATTTCTCTGGTACAAGGAGGAGGAAGGAGTATCTCAGTTCATATCATGACACTGGTAATAAAAAAGTTGCATTCAAAATGCCACACAACTGAATGTGACTCACCAGTGTGTTGACACCAGGCTTGAGAACCATGGCTTTAAACTGTTGACTGAAGGGAGCGTATGAATTACCTATCACAGAGGCAAAATACTGTCAACTGGCAGAATGCCAGGTGTAGTATCTTTGGAAGAGTCAGATCCTTTTGAAGAATAGCTCTTAAAAATTAAATGTTTCTTTAAATAGAACTAGGGTAATTACTCAATCCCTTAGTTTTTCCAATATATAGCAATGACAAAGAGTGATATTTCAGTGAAATATAGATGTTAGAAGTTTCTTGATGTGAAGTTACTTGTGTTCAATGAGACAATTCATTTCCTATCATTTATTTGTCAAAATGTTTAATACTCCATTATTTCACCCAAGTAATAATTTATCAACAAATATTTGTTGAATGATGAATGTTCAACATAATAAAACTGAATATAATTCTTGCATAATACTGTTGGCTAAGTAGGGAGAATAGATGTGATGTTAGAAACTCCAAGTTGCTGAGGGGTGGAGTTAACAAAGTGACAGGTGTTCAGGAGGAAAGTGTAGTATGGAGAGATGATATTTTTGTGAAGAAACTTCCAGCAGGGCCTCTGCCTATGACTGATAATTACATACTATCTGCATCACAACGTGCACCCTTAGGTTCAAATGGGACTGAGAGCCAGCCTGCACTCTTATTTACTCACTGAGCCATGTAACTGAGCATGGGGCTGACACAATCCAAGGGAAAACAGGCTTGTCTCATCTTCCTAGACACCTGATGAACTATTGGCAGCCCAGCTTCCCTGTGTCCTGATTTTTCTCCAGGAATCCTTAGTCACTGATCAGCTTGTAAATATTGGAGGGAACCCAGGAAAACTAATTTTTCACATGACACTACATGTATGAGACCATCTGGTGGACTACCAAGAATTCTTTCTTGCCATTCCCCCATCAGCAGAGGACTGGAATCTTTTGAAAGTTTTCTGTGAACATTGAGGAATAGCTTTACTTTGTGGATTCAGGGATCCTGGGAGGGACCCCATAAATGATCCCAAAGAAATCCTACCCTTTTTGACAACTGAAGCCTGACGTTCCAATTTAATAGCATGTTTTTAGCCCAAGGCATGTTGGAATAAAAAAAGTAATTATTCTGCTGTTAGCACTCTGTGGCTATGTATGTCACAGTACCCAGCAGAGAACACTGTACAGATTTACTTGCCTAAGCCATTTCCCTCATCATTAGGTCTCTAGGAGCAGAGGTCTTATCTTATTTTTGGCAATCTCATTTTTTCCAGTATTTACTATAGACTCCATTACATAGTAGGCTCTCAGCAAATGTTTACTGAATAAATGAATGAATGAACATTGGTTCACTGAATGAATGAATGAACAGTGGTTTTATCCCATTCTTTAATTACTTCAGAAAAATTAAGATTCTTTGTTCACAACCTGACAGAATTTATTCTTAAGGACAACTAAATAAAAATTTCCTTCCTGATTTTCTGATCTGGATGCTGGACTCAGATTATTTCTCTACATCTTCAGATTTATACCTGTCTTATTGCTTGGAATAAAAATCAATTCACAGAAAATGGTTAAATGTCATTACCATCTGCCTCTTTCAGTTAACTCTGTGTTTATCTTCAATTACCTGTAAGATTTTATTCTGGCAGATATTATTTTCACTGCTTTTCTTAATATTTGAGCATTTGCTCTGGCACTATCTACTAAAATATATCCTCCCCTAACATGGAGCAATGGCGAGCAAATGGCAGTTCACCATGGACTACATTTCCCAGCCACCATTGCATCAAGTTGTAGCTCTGTGACTAGTTCATCCCCTCAAAATGTGATTAAAAATGATATCTGCTTCTTCTGGCCAACGAGATAAAAAAGAGGTACACCTCCATCTTCTTTTCTCCTTTTGCCAGCTAGCACAATGCAACAATGAGGCCATGGGTAGGATTAATCTTTTTTGTATCATGGATTCTTCTGGCATACTAAAGAAGCCCCTGGATCACCTCTCAGAATGTTTTCAATATATATACAATAAAATACTAGAATTATAAAGAGCATAAATTATATTGAATAAAATTATCAAATTATTTATAAAATTAGTGATATGATAATAAGTAGATATATTTGTTATCTATTACTATGTAACAAATTATCCCAAAACTTAGTGCTTAAAACATACATCCTGGTTTCTGTGGGTCAGGAGCAGCTTAGCTGGTTGGTTCTAGCTCAGAGTCTTTTAAAAGGCTACATTCAAAGTGACAACCAGGGATGTAATCATCTGGGAGCTTGATAACAAAAAAAAAAATCTGCAATTGTATTTGCTACAAACTCACAAGTACTGCTAATACTTCTGTGGTTTTACCTAAATTCATACTTACAGAGTTAAAAGGGATGTAATTTTCTGTATCCAAGTATTCCGATAGCTCTGAATTCTATTCATGGATCCTTTGGAGGTTTGTGGACCCTTGCTTTCTGTCCATGGGCCCTATAAGATGAAGAAGCCACAGCATAGATTAAGACCCTAAATTACTGCTTAAGGAAATTTTTACTAACCTGATATAATTGCCTGAAAATGTTGAGAGAGGAAAAGCTACTGCACGTGAGCCACTATGTATATGAGAGTCATTTGTTACTATAGCCTAGCCTATACGCCCTAGTACATTTGCCTATTAATTATGCTACTGCTACTACTTCATTTTGTCTTCAACATATACTTGCAAGCAAAATTTCAACTTACTTTCAGGTTAAATTTCATATATGTATCTGCTATTATACAGTATCCACCTCATTCCACTAACAACTAATTCACTAACTTAATATGTGTCAAGGACATATGGAAACTAAATTATATTTTTTCAGTGACTTTTAGTTTATTATTTTCCTCCAGTTTTCAGTTTTATGCACCAGATGGTTGCCAGCTGGATCTCTATGAATAAATTACAAATGACCAATAATGATAAATATTTGAGTGGCTCCTGCTCCTGAATGATTTTTAAGCATGTTAATGAACTTGTTTTCAAACAATGAACATTTCATTGTGGGGGTAACAGATCATCTCATGTGCCATTGCCAGAAATATCTCTCTGAAGTCTCCCTGAAATATTTTCTAGACATCCTGTGTCTAGGCAAAGCTATTGGATGGGTTTGTGTTGACAGAAATCAACCTAGCTACAGTACAATGTTAAGGGGTTTCTTTGTTTTGGTTTCTTTGGAGTTTGTTGTTGGGATCATGGACATAAAAACAAACAAACAAAAAAAAGGCACAAACACTAGAAATACAAAGTCGGGTCCATGATTTTACAATCCTTTCTAAAACTGAATTTAAAAATTAGCCAGTGGTCCTTAACGTTTAACCTAACCAGCCAGCTTCCATTGTGACAAAATGAATTTTAAAAATAATTGTCCTGGAAAAGATCAAGCCATTTTTAGGCATATTTATCATGGTTGGTTGGAATTCAGTATATAAGTTCCTTTTATTTATTTATTAAAGTTTTTTTCATGTTTATTTATTTATTTTGAGAGAGAGGGAGAGAGAATCCAAAGCAGGCTCCGTACTGTCAGCACAGAGCCCAAAGCGGGGTTTGATCTCAAGAACCTCGAGATCATGACCTGACTCAAAATCAAGAGACTGATGCTTAACTGACAGAGTCACCCAGGCACCCCTCTATAAGTTCCTTTTAAATGGAAGCAAACAATTTAACATACATTGTTTTCTCACTGAACAGTAGTACTTCCTTTCATTGCTCAAAAGAAGATTCATGGAACAAAACCTAAGACTGTAGGGCAACCAGGAAAAACGAAAAAAAAGAAAAAGAAAGAAACTCAGAAATTCTTTCTGGAAGAAAGAATATCCTGCTAGCAGTAATTTAGAATTAGGTTTATCAAGAACATGATTTAGTAAAAGATATTTTAATCCTCTTTGTTAAAGTGGAGTTTTGAGGGGCGCCTGGGTGGCTTAGTCGGTTAAGCGTCCGACTTTCACTTAGGTCATGATCTCGCGGTTCGTGGGTTCGAGCCCCGCGTCGGGCTCTGTGCTGACTGCCAGCTCAGAGCCTGGAGTCTGTTTCAGAGTCTGTATCTCCCTCTCTCTCTGACCCTCCCCTGCTCACGCTGTCTCTCTCTCTCTCTCCTAGAAATAAATAAAAATATTAATAAATAAATAAATAAATAAATAAAGTGGAGTTTTGACACCTGATTTATAAGAACAACATACAAAAAACATCTTTTCTTAGTTCTTAACTCCTCGTCATCTTACACAATTCAAATAAAATTAAGTAATCTAAATTTTAAAGTTTTATTATAAAACTAATGCTTCTTGTAGAAATTTTAGAAAATAAGGAAAAGCAAAGGAAAAAAATATTTAAAAATAACCTATACTTTGTGGTGTTCCAAGTAGAAATACTCTATCATTTTGAGGTGTATTCTTCCTATGTCTATACAAATATACATAATTTTTTAATGAACTTTCTTTAGGATTTTTTTTTTGGCAATTCTAACTTGGCTAACAGAGAAAAGAGATAGCCTGTCGTCATAAAGGTTTCCAAAGTTCTGTTTTTATTGTATTTTATTTCTTTGTAATTTTCAGAGGGATGAAGCCTATATTATTTTTACTCTGAGATTTAGTGACTGAGGAGCTACAAAACTTTTGCCTTTTTAGAACCAGGCTCCTATCATTGTTCCAATTTACTACAAGTCAGGATGTTGGATGTTGAAGAGGACAGGGCTAAACAAGCATGAGGAAAGCCCCTATCTAAAAACTCACAAAGACTGACATTGCTTTCAGAAGGCAGGCCACTCTTAAACAAAATGGTAAGTAAGCAAGTGATATAAGCTGCAAGGGAAAAATTCAGGCCTTTTGGGATCAACTCATCTTTCTCCTAAACTACTCAAATATAGGGATAATTGATGGGGTAGTTTTCCAAGAGGTTAGAGCTGCTTAGTAATTTGGAAGACATCCATTTGGACTGCCTCCAAATATAATTTCTCACAAAATACTCCCCCAAAGTGTTTTTGACCTAATCTCAAACACATCCAGAAGGATGGAATTTACAATCTCCCACTCCAATGTTACAAATTCTCAGCCAAAAAGTAGTAGAAAAACATAGACTTTTAGTTAAAACACTGGTTCTTCAATTTGTTACCTGTTGGGTGAATTTTTTTAATCCTAAAAAATATCAGTTTCCTCATTAATACAATGCAGATGCCAATACATTTCTCTGAGGATTGTGAATACTGGACAAAATTATTATCACAGTATATGGGGCATAGTAGATATTTAATAGATATCATTTCCATTTACTTCCATTTCCACCAACCCACCCCTAATCTTTTATGCCAAGAATAATTCTATTTGGTATTCAAATTGAACCTTTTTAGTTTTCAAGAGAAGCAAAGCAAAGCTGGCTACCTAGCCAGATTTCTTCAAATGTTTTTAAGTAACTTCCCCAGACGTAAGAGTCTCTCTCTCTCCCCTTCCCTCTCTCTCCCCAACCCTCTCTCCTTCCCTGTTTTTGTTCATTTCAATAGGATGAGTTTTCTTAATTTTGTAGCTTTTTATTGTTTTCTACTTCTTAACTACTTCTAACATATAGAATGAGTTGATTTCTGATTACTCTATTTTAAGCAGACTTATTCACTTGTGGCTCTGCTTCCACAGCTCATGTGGTTTTCCCTTGGTTCCTTTCATGTGTTTTCTTCTTTAAGTAGCATTTATTAAAGAATGATGAAATAATTAGAAGCTTCTATATATTTTACCTTACATGGAAAACTTGTTCTAATAAAAGAAATATATAAATTAAAGTAACCTCATGACAAACTTGTTATGAGAATATTGTATCTGCAATTGCTATAGTTAACATGGACACTAAAAATTTAACTTTATGATATAATCATATACCATATTACGTTACCTTTATGATTCATATTTTGCATATTTTAACAACTCTGAAACTAAAATGTATGTAATATTTGATGAACAATATTAATGTGCTGGATTTTTTTCTTTGTTACTGGTACTAAAATAAAAGTGCATCTTATAATTGTTTTTTTAGATTTGGTAAAAATGCTATAAACAATTTTTTTATAGAACAAAGTATAATATTTTGTTTCTATGGTAAACAATATATGCTGACTATGAGACATAATATCAGCAATAAGATAAAGCAGTTAAGGGAAGGCCTCATCCTTTCCATGGAAAAAAAAATTTCATGCTGCATCAAAATCAGTTACAAGGTGATTACAGATGTATATTCTCATTATGAAAATTTCACCAGTTCATTGCAAAACAAAATTTGAATGCAGCTTTCTTTATAAACAGCTAAAGGATTGGGAGTAAAACAGCTGGGTCTCTAATAGTGCTTGTAGAACATTCAAGGTAAATGGATTCAAGGTAAAATTATTTTTACCAACATTTAAAATTAAATTATTATGACCCTAAATAAGATCCTAATACTTATATGGAAGGCACAAGCCATTTGCAAAAATGGCTAGAATTTTGCTTATGACCTGGATTTATCTTAAGATTCCTAGTAACTTTAAAGCCTCGGCTAAGATTTATTCCTCTCCCATACATTTGCTCTTTAAATCCTTTCAGTTTCATGGGGCAAGAGTCAGGCATTTCCATAAACTGAGCATGATCAAATTTTGAAGGAGTACAGAAGGTTCACTGATCAGGCACTGATCATTTGTTACCTACCTTGATGAAAAATGTGTTGAATAACAGATTGAAATTTGGCATCACAATTCATCCAGCTGACTTTATCTACTTTGCAAAATTCGATCATCTTTTGGACATTAATGCAATTGTTTATCTCTGGAAAGTTGACGGGCATATGCTTTCCATGCAGGTAACTCATATGTTTATAACTGAGCCAGCCTCTCAGAGAAATTATTTAATTCTGCTACACTTTTCCCACACCTCTTATTTTATTGCATCTACCCTCAGTGCCTTACTTTTCTAACCCTTTAAACATTCAACTTTTAGTTAATGTGCATTTAAATCCACCCTTGAGTTGTCTAAGCTTGTGTAAGGATATCATACCAAATGGTCATCTTGGACCAGTGAATCGACAATTTCTGCCCATTTTGTTACCCGTCCCCTTATGTCTTGTCTTTTCTTAAAGCACTAATAAATATAATGGCCTGAAACCCTCCCACAGATTTTCATTTCCTATTTATCCTTGTGTAGCACACCACTGTGGCCCAGATCTTGGAACTACTTGGCCTTCTCTAATTTAAGTACTTTTGTGGTATATGCAATGAGTCAATCAGGTAAGATCTAGACTGATAATCCCCAACACTGTCATCGCTGAGAAAGCATAGTAGGGCAGTAAAAAGCAGTAATATTATTCATCTGCGCCTTAATCGAATATATGAAAAAGGAAATTTCAAATGAAAGAAAATATTAATAGTTAAAATATACCAAGTAAAATTATATCATTCATCATTCATCTAGCAAAACCATTTAATCATTGCTCGGACACTATGAAATTTATATAATTTGTTTCTTTATGGATAATAGAGAACTATTCAGGTAAGTAAATAGGCATATATATATATACACATTTGCTAGAGTCTATATTCTATTACCTAGAATAAGACACATGGGAACTATCAATCAAGTCGCATAAAATAGGAACAATTGAGGTGAGGCTAATCTAATATTATCTCTGTTTTAACTGTTTATGTGGGTAAATACTGCTGTGGAAACAAGGTGGTTTAAAGCCAGATGGACCTTTGATAAAATCTGAATTCCTCACTTAACAGCCGTGTGACTTTTGGCAAGACACTCTACCTCTCCAAGCTTCAATTTCTTTGCTGTTAAAATTAGGACTACATATTGTCTGTTATGCAGTTTTGCTCTAATGCAACATATGTGTTCATAAGATTCACTGTGCTATGCAAAAATCACACAATAAAAACCACACGAGACTACGGAAAAAACAGGATTATGGTATGATCCTCAAAAATGTAATCAGTTACGAATTAAAAAAAAAAAAAAAGACCCTAACAAAAATGGTAGCAGAGTTGACCAAGAAATACATAAATACAATTGATATAGTATTTTACCTTAAAAATACCTAAAGTTTACTTGGGGAAGTGGGTGTCAGGAAGCTTGTGAGTTGTCAGTTATTGTGAAGTGGTAGAAGGAAATTTTCTAAAATCAAATGGAAAGCTGTAACACGAAAAGCAGATGGGTGTGAATTGAAGTAGCTGGTAGATGTTTGAGGTGCTTGAATGTTTCAGTATTCTTACCTGGCTCAGTTCAGGCAGGTGCAGTTACTGCATTCACTTAGTGTTTTCTGCAGGAGAAATTGCACATAAGCATATTCTGTCCTTTGTCTTTTTGACCTCACACACATAAAACACTTATCTCTCTTGGTGTGGTAATCAGCCTTCAACATGGTCCCCAGTGATCTCTACCTTCTGGTACTCACACCCTTGTGTAGTCCCCTGCCACACTGTACCAGGTGTTGGTCCCTGTGAAATACAGCAAAGAGGTAGAGTGTCACATCTGAGATTAGGTTATAAAAGACTTCAGCTTCTGTCTTGGGCTCTCCCTTTCTCGAATCATTTACTCTGGGTGGGCAGCGGATGGCAGGTGGAAGCCAGCTACTATGTAAAGGGATACTGAGGCATCCTATGGAGAAGTCCATGTGATGAGGAATTGAGGTTTCCTGCCAACAACCCTCAATGATCTTGGAGTGAATCTGAAGACTTCAGATGACTGCAGTCTCAGGCGACAGACTGACTACAACCTCATGAGATACCTTAAGCTAGAACCATCCAGATAACTCCTCCCAGATTCCTGACCCACTGACACTGCGAAAAAACAAGTGCTTTAAGCTACTAATGTTTGAGGTCATATGTTATATAGCAATAGATAACCAATACACTCAATTTTACTTATTTTCTATTTCATTGGCTGTTCTTTCTCAGTTTCCTTTACTGGCTCCTCCGTCTCTTTTAACAAATCTCTAAGTATTGGGATTCTTTAGGGTTCAGTCGCAGGTCATCTCTTGTCTATATATATTTCATTCCAGGATTTTAAGTATCATTTTTATACTTCATCTCCAAGCCAAAGCTCTCCTTTGAATTGCAAACCCCCATGTTCAACTTCATATTTTGCCTCTCTACCTGGATGTTTCACACACATCTCAAACCTAACATATTAAAAATGGAATTCCTGATTTCCTTCCCATATCCGAACCTATTCATTCTTCCCTTTCTTACCATTCTCTCCTATCTTCCTAATTTTTATAACCATACCAAAATCCACCCAGTTAATCAAGGCCACAACCTAGGTAGCAACATTATTTCTTCCCTTTCTATAAAGTCCTAATCCAGTCCATCAGGAAGACCTGTCAATCTCATTTCTAAACTGTATTTACAATTTTTCCTTTCTTACCATGATCATCATGACCTCACTTAAGCTACTAAAACAACACCCTAATTGATTCCCCTGCCCAGTGTCAATCTATGTTTCTCACATAACAGCTTAAAGATCTTTTTCAAATAGATCATGTCATATACTTCTGATTAAAATTTTTCAACAACTTTCCACCCCCTATCCATGCAGAATACTAGAGTTGCATTGAGCTATCAACGGTTAGGTTCTTTTCTTTTAGTATCGTTCCCTCATTCAGCAAATACTTACCCAACACCTACTAAATAAATGCTGGGGACTTATCAGTGCACCATGCAGGCCAAAGATTACTGCTTCCACATTCAGATGGTGTTGGTGGTGGGGTGAGGGGCAGGCTCTATAGTGAGAACAGAATGTATCCCGTGAAAATAAGGTATTTTTTCTAGTTGAGCTGGTAAATCGGATTGCCCTAACACAATGTTAAATTCATAACTATGGCCCAACACTGGATTTAACTGACAGAAGGCTGGTTGCTAATTACAACTTTGAAATCCTTTAAGGTAGTTTATGTTCCTAAACATCAAAGTAATAACGGTTTTAGGCCCTATGGAAGAAAGTGCAGCCCAGACAAGTCTAATAGAAAATGTGCTATGGCTCTTATTTGAAATTCTATCCAAATCAAAAGGGGTTTGCCTATTTATAATCTGACTTAGATTTTTGGCAGATCAAGCTACATTGGGCTGTTTCTCGGACGGCACAAATAATCGAGATGCTTCGTGCTGTGCATGATTTTTATGTTTATGCCAACGTTCTGAGGTGCCCAAGTGGTAATGCTTTAGCACCATCGGGAGGAAAGAAGCACCACCCTCTGATACAAACCAAGACAGCCTAAGACGCTCAGAATACTGCGATGCAAACTCCTTTAGGGATAGCAGAGCTCGTCTGACGCCACTCCGGAAAGTACTTAGGTCGAGGCCATTTTTCTACTATCGAAGTGCGTTTGGCACATTTTACTTCAAAGCAAAAGCGACACTTCCAAGTGTCGGGCTAAGCTTCCAGGAAGAAGCTAGGCGCTTGCTGGCAAAGGGAGGAGAGTCGGTCGGTGTGCGAACACAGACCCCTTGCCTCCCAGTCTTTTCTTCGGCCTGAGACTGTCTTTTTGCTTCTAGTCTGAGTCAGCGGCACAGAAAAAATAACGCAAACAAACAAAAAAGTGGGCGGATGGAGAGGTTCAGAGTGTACCCTCAAAGCGAAGTAGAGACGCCGGGTAATCGAAACCCGCGGCCAGAAGCCCTCACGGCCTGACAATACACCCCGCCCACCGTCTACCGTCACTGCTGCCGAGGCGGCGGCTCGAGGCCGGAGGGAGGAGCGGCCAGATCTTCGCGCGAGATTAGCACGCGAATTCCCAGAAAGCCTCAGGCAAATTCTAATAGCGGCCAGAAAGCCGGTTCAGGGCGGAAGGGTAGGCGGGCCTAGGCCAGATATTTAGCGGCACCGGAGACCACGCCCCAAAACGGAAGTGACGGAAACGAGCTAGCGCGTCGAAGATACCTCTATGGTTTTCCTCCCGTGCTTGAGTCGGGAAATGGCCGCGGTGTAGTTACAACGGAGATAAGTCCCGGGAACCGTGTTTTCGGCGCTTCAGGTAGGCCTCATGCTGCATTCAAATCACTCACAGGGCAGTAAATACCAAGGACGAGTGAATTATTGTTGAATCTTTTGTGGGTAGTTACGGGTTGGCGGCTACCGGAGGACCGAGGAGGCGTATAGCCGTTATTTATGCGTTTCTATATCAGATCCTCTCAGGTTTTTGAGGCACTACAGGTCGAAATGGTTGGGGGTGGGGTGAGTGGCGAGAACGGTACGCGCGCGCGCGCGGTTGCGAACCTGGCTCGAAACCCAGAGACCGCGCGGCCTTCCCGTGCGCGTGCGCATATATGCCTCTTCAACCCTTCCCCCATTTCCTCGGCCCAGACCCTTGCGCGCGCCCGACTGAAAGCTCGCCCGGCGCACGCGCACTTCCTCCTTTCTCCGCCCACGGCTCCTGAGGCCGCTTGAGGTGCAGCTTGTGTTCGCTTCTTATTGGCTGAGATCGCCACCTTTCTTTCCAGGCTTCGATAAAACAACTGTGACCCGCCGCAAAGTGCGTTGGGTAGGTTGACCCCTTTCTGCGTCGTATTTAAACTCCTTTTTCCCGGTTTCACGCTTCCCATCGGTGTACGCCTCGTTTTTTAAATTCAATTCTGTCTTGGGAACGTGTTCAGCCGGTCCCCGTCACTGACCCCGGCCTCCGCCTCCCGCCCTCGGTGTCGCGGGACAGTTTTCTCCGAGATTAATCTCCTTGGATCGCCTTGGAAACCCACTCTGTTTTGAAGCGAAGCTGCACTCTTAACCCTTAAGAGTGGGTGCCTGGTTACGGTTTCCTAGCATGGGGAGCAGGCCTTGGCTGATGGGTCGTCTAGAGGCCCTGTCACACCCGGGCCCAAAAGGCAGCTCTCCAGTAGTACCGGAAAACCACGTCCTTTTTCGGCAAGTGATGCAGGTCTTTTGTCGTGTCAGAAATGTTGCAACCGTGGTCGGTAGATAGTGGGGTAAATGGGTGGGAGTGGTGGGCTAAAGTTAGGGACTTTGCCCTCATTTTAAGTTTATAAGTTGACTTTTCTTTACTTTTAAGATTTGTCTTAATCAGAATCAAGCAGCAATACTACTGGCAACTACTTTCCTACGTCAAACTTTTATTTTTTTTAGCGTTTTAGATTGAAAACCTTAGGACTGAAGTTGAAAAACTTAGGACTGACGTAACTAAAAGTGACGTAAAGATGTGTTCGGACATATCTTTTTTGCAGCAATGCCTTTTAATTTTTCTTTGGTATTAAAAAGCAAGCCAAAATTCCTTAATCCTGTGTAAATTCTCATTCCAATGTGACTTTAGTTGGAATGGCGCTATTGTTTAGACTGAAGAATCATTACATAGGAAAAACTGCTACAAGTTAATTTGCATTTTTATGTGATTCTAGCCAATTGAGGATAAATAATTTGATGACAAGGGTTGTGTGTCTAAACTCCTGGTTGAATAACCCAAAGTTGAAAGATGGCTTATAGGCATCTTGTTTTAAGGATACCAGTTTTCACTGTAACCTTGTGGTAAACATTGGAAACCCCCCCTTCATTCAGCTAGTTAAAAATGGTGGCATAGGAGATTCTTTAACTAGAGCCGATTCTTGTTAGAACAATAGTATTTTAGGACTTGGAGACAGATCTGTAAAACCCCCTTGATAGGCTCATGTCTAGTTGAATTTAGTTAGCTGTATTAGATTTAACTGTGTTGAGAAGACTTGTAAGAGATAAAGTCTTTTCAGTTCTACATAGAGCTTTGAATTGGGAGTTTCCAGAAACTACATTCATATGTTTGTTTGAAAGAGTGTTTTTGAGCAGTGCTCTCACTTGAGCGAGGGAGGGAGAATCCCAAACAGGTTCTATGCTGTCAGCACAGAGCCTCATGAACAGTGAAATCATGACCTGAGCCAGAATCAAGAATTGGGTGCCCCAGCTGACTGAGCCACCTAGGCGCACCCCAGAAAGTATTACTTGAACACTAGCGGAATTCTGCTGTGTAATTTACAGTGATTTATTGACAAAAGTAGATAAGGGAATCTAGAAGCCCAACATATCTCTGGGTAGCAAGTGTACGTGGTTAGGTTATACTTCTGGGTTATGGATTTGTTCTTTTTCACATCCAGCTTCTTAGATAATGGGCATTAGTGTTATCTCAGGGTCTTAAGCTTTGGTGTTTTATTTGACCCCAGGACTGAAAGAAAACAAGTCTACAGACGTTAAGGTGATAATAATTCTAGCCTACATTTGTATAATACCTTGTGGAGTTTTCAAACTTGGTCTAATATTTCTCCACTTAGGTTAGAGACCAAGAAGGTAGAAAACTTAAGGTCACATGAACCAGGCTGTGGCACAGCCTGATCTAGAATGCAGGTATTTTTCTCATTTGCATGCTGTCTTTTTTTTTAAAAGCAGGATGACAAAAAGCTGGGCAAAGAACTAAAACTTGTGACTAAACCTGTCATTTTTCAAAAAGAATTTTTTTAATTCTTTATTTTTTTAATGTTTATTTTTGAGAGAGAGACCAAGGGAGCAGAGGAGGGCCAGAGAGAGGGAGACACAGAATCCAAAGCAGGCTCCAGGCTCTGAGCTGTCCGCACAGAGACTGATGTGGGGCAGGCTTGAACCCATGAACTGTGAGATCATGACCTGAGCTGAAGTCGGATGCGTAACCCACTGAGCCACCCAGGCACCCCTCAGAAGCTTTTAATTTTGGGAATTTTTAAGCACAAAAGTAGAGAACATAGTGAATTGTGATGTTCTCATTTAAGTTTAGTAATCAGCAATTACCAATTTTAATATTATTTATTTAACCTTTTAGGGAGTATTTTAAGGCAAAATTCCAGTCCTTTTGTTCTGCATTTATAATGCTGATTAATACTATATCAAAAATATTCTTACAAGAATCATTTGAATTAAAATTAGTGGATAAACTGTAAGAAAAGCTGTTACAAACCAGGTTTAACAATAACGATAGCAACCATTTAAAAGAGTGCATAGTGTGCCAGAGGTCAAGCGGTTTACATTTATTCAGTTCACATAACATTAAACCTTCGAGTTAGTACCATAATTAGCCTTATTTTATACCCGTGGAAGTTGAAGGAGGTTGAGGTAACTTGTCCAGTGTTGGGCATCTAGTTACTGGTTAAGTCAGAATTTTGAACCTAGTCTTTTGGAATAATAACTTTAGGATATTATTTTTAGGGTTATTAAAGATGTAAGTAGCAATAATTTGTATCACAATCTGGAAGCCAAACTCCCAGAATCTGCTAAAATGCAGACTTGGCTCAAATATGCTTGATTGGGTAATCTAAAGAATCCATTTGGGGGGTGGGGGGGCTTCAGTTTGTGTTCTAGCTGATCATAATGAATTATTGCATGCAGTATAGACTTTGTTAAGGTATTTAAGAACTTTAAACATAAAGCCTGACTTACTCTCTTACATTCCTCACTGGTAAATCAGTTGGAAAAATGCATAAAGCAATTTAATCCTTATCTCTTTTTACATCTTTTTATGATGTTAGTAAGTGATCTTGGTTGTAATAAAGGGAAGATTGATTTGGCATTTTGAATTCTATATATAGGTTATGGCCGTGTCAAACACCTGTCAGGATATTGGAGAGAGCATAGGAATTGGAATCAGGAGGTCTGGGTTAAATTTTGGATTAACCATTTACACTCTGTGACCACAGGCATCCTAAATTGGCAAACTAATCTCTTGTTTTCTCTCCCAAACTTGCAAATCACCCAGATGCTTGAGCCCAAA